GAGGAGAGGAGAGGAGAGGAGAGGAGAGGAGAGGAGAGGAGAGGAGAGGAGAGGAGAGGAGAGGAGAGGAGAGGAGAGGAGAGAAAAACTATCAGAAAAAAAAAGAGATCAGTAAGAATTCTCCCTTGAAAGGGAAGAAGCCATTGCTCTGCAAGTCTAACCCAGTAAGCATCAGTGCTGACGGAAATTACCAGCACCTTCACGCTTCTCCCAGAGATTTTACTGCTTTGAACTAAGCAGTCCCACGGAAGGGTGGGCAGATGAATCCAAGGAGGAGGGGGAGGAAAACAAGTTGTGGCTTAACGTTTCCTCGAATAAACTGTGTTTTTGGGAATATAGCTCAGAACTGTCTCAAAGTATTAACCACCAGCGCTGTAGCATTTGCCATTTTCACTGGCTGTTAAAAATTGGCCCAGGCTCCAAAGGGCTTTCATGCTATCAATCTTAGATAAGCCCCAAGATCAGACGATGGACTTTTGCAATAGCTTAACCCCACAGTTTGTCTGTCCTGCAAGCAATGTGTGTGGAGGGGTGGGGCAGTGCTGCCAAAGGACCCATTTCTACCAGGGATTCTGGCTGCAAACTGGCTTGGGCAGGGGTGGGGGAAGGGTGGTGATAGAGGACTGATAATCAGGGGTCCACGCTGCACGTAAAGTACCTGTACCAAAGGGGATTCTTCACACAAGCCGGTAGCACTGCTGCGGCCTCCGCTGCAGCCTCTGGGGGACAGGGGTCAAGGGGCAGGGGGCAGAGGGCAGGGAACAATGGCAGAACTCTGGGAAGCTAAACGCCGCCGCCTTGCTCCTGCTATGGGGCTCTCTGGCTACTCACAGAGCAGTTTCAGCACCGGATTGGGAGACTGGGGTGAACAAATCTAGCTTCCCAGTCGCCTGGTAATTTAGCTTCTTTGTCTTCTCCACCAAGGCTGTCCTGTTCCGGTTATTCACAGGGCTAGTGACAGCGCAGTCGACTCAAAGGTCAGGCAGAGAACCTTGGGAAGGGAAAAAACTTCCCCAGGGACACAGAGGCTAGGCAGATAAGGTAGCCGCAGGCGGGGAGACTGGCACAAAGTGACCCTGAAGGCTCACCCTTCTCCCTCCTAGTGCCCACGCTGTCTCTTCATTTCCCACAACTGGCAACTGGAAGTACCCAGCTAAATCCACCCTGGCCAGGCATGAGAAGCTGCAGGAATAAAGCAAATGTAAGCTTTGGAGTTTGAACAGCTATCTAAAGTTAATCTCTTAGTTCAACAAACAGAAAGAAGTTGTTAAAATGCCTAAGGGATTGGGACAGGGATCTGGTTAAACACTAATAGGTTAAAAGGGAAAGAACAAAGCGGTTAAACAAAGCCTTCCTCTCCCTAGCTGGGAAGACCTTGATGGCAGCAGGCCAACGCTTGCAAAATTCTTTTGGAAGGGGAAGAAAAATGCCTTTATTTGATTTGGTTTAAAAATCACATGGAATAAACGATCCTAAACAACATAGGCCAAGCATAGCTACACTCAGTCGTACAGTGCTCACCTGGTGTGTCTGGACGTCTCAAAGGTACTTGAGGCGTTCTCTTCCCTTCATTTTATAGGACTCAGTGAAACTCAGAGCCAATCACCTCCAGGTGCTCTACCACTGACTCACTCCCTGAGCACCTAAGAAATGGTTTCTTGGCAGTTTCATTATGCAGTCTGTGCTGGCCTTGAATTGACAGCACTTCTTTCATCATCTGGAAGTATAGACCTGTATGATCAACCCAAATCAAAACTCAGCCCTACTCCCTCTCTTTATTCTTTCGAGACAGTCTCAAGTCACCTGTAATGGCTTTAAACTAGTTACGTAGGTGAATCTTCTTGCCTCTCCCCCATTTTTTTCTTTTTTTTTAAAAAAATGTTTATTCACTGTAATGTGCGTGAGTGCTTTGCTTGCATGTATATAAGTGCGTGCATGCTTACCTGGTGTAAATATAACTTTTATTCACCTGATATAATTGTCATCTCTGAGATTTACTGCCTTAGTCTGCTAACTGCCTAGTCCTGGAAACTTCTAGCCTCCGTACAGTATTATTTAGAATACTTAGATACCTAGAATGTGTTCAGACTTTGAGACTGAACAAGCTCACCCTTCCTAGTTCTTTCTGATCTCTGGCTGGCTGGTTCACCTCAGCTGTTCTGGCTTAAACTCCTCTCTATGCTGACTGATTCAGTCTGGCTTCTCCCTTGGCCTCTCCTGAACTGCTCTGCTTGGCGTCATACTAACTTTGCCAATCTGTTCTAGCCTTCTGGCTCCCTCTCATTCTCTGGCTTGTACTGTCTTCAACCTGTCTTTGTAAAACTTTCCCAGAAAAACTGCCCCTCTTCTCACTTCACTGGACCTCAAGTAGCTTCCCTTTCCTCTTTCTTCTTGCGAGAGTTGGGCATATCCCATTCTGTCAAATCTTTCTCTGACTCATCACTGTCTGCCCCTCAATTAGACATCACTTGCAAACGCATTACTCCATTCTACAAACCAGCTTTACCTTCATTGATTGGGATTAAAGGTGTGGATTAAGGGTGTGTCACATCACAACAACGTGTTTACAATAAACAGAAAGCTCTTGGATAAAAGGTGTGTACTAAGTCTAAGACACACCATAACAGGTTTTTCCAGTTCACCATCATGGGGTTCATAATGTGATCAAATATCCTACAATAGCCTGGTGCCTGTAAAAGCCAGAGAAGATGGTGCTGAATCCCCTGGAACTGGAGTTACAGATGACTGTGAGCCAAAATGTGTATGCTGGGAACAGAACCCATATACTCCGAAAGATTAGCAAGTGCTCTTAACTGCTGAGCAATTTCTTTAGCCCTAGATTTTTTTCCTTAAAAAATCAATGGAGGAAGAGGTAGGTTATAGTCGTGCACGCATGTAATCATAGACCTCCAGGGTTGGAAGCAGAAGGTCACTGAAAATTTAAGGACAGCCTGGTTTATATGAGGAGTTCCAAGCCAGTCATGGAGGCATAGTGAGATCATTTTGAAAATTCAAAATTAAAATAGAGGCTGGGGAGATGATTTAGTTGGTAAAGTACTCTCAGTGCAAGCATGAGAACCCAAGTATGGATCCATAGCACCCACTGAAAAGACCTGATGTGGCCAATGTCCTCATATCTATGACTCTGGAGTTGAAAATGGAGGCTCTCTAGCCAGCTAGCCTAGCTAAGTTGATGAGGTCAATCCCCAGGACCCATATGGTGGAGGGCAAGAACAGACTCCCACAGTTTTCCTCTAATTTCCACATACACATTATGGCATAAGCATGATCCCCTCCTAAATAAAGGTAGTTAAAAATATAACATAGTGTTTCCCTTGAGATTTGTGTGTCTTATCGTACGTATATTCTCTAAGATTGCATATCTTGAATATACTGTCCTATTCCTTGCCTTCTGGACTATACTAAAATATCCTGGTACATTCAAACACCATCATTTGACATTCTAATTTTTTAGTTTACTAAGGAGAAAACGAAGAAAATGAGCAACCCAAAGCACAAGAAAACTCCACACATATTGGACACAGAACAAACTCAGCTCAAAGTTTTCTTTCTTTGGGAACAGTGCTGGAGATGAAACCTGAGCCTGAACTGTACCCATAGAACTCAACTCAAAGTTCAAGGACAGGAACTTAGAAAAATGAGTTTCTGGCTTCCTTCACTCAAGGACATACTTAAGACAATTTCTCTACTGTGTTTTCACAGTCTACAAAGTAAGGAGACTCCCGAAGCTGCATGTTCAGCTGGGAAAAAACATTAGCCAAACAGTAAGTCATCCAGAGGAATATGAGAACTCTTTCTGAAAGGGGGGGGGGAGAGGATTTCACTCTATAACCCAGACTGACCCAGAACTCACGATGTAGCCCAGGCTGGCTACAAGCTCAGTGTGATCCTCCTACCTCAGTATCCTAAATGCTGGGATTGCAGGTGTGTGTCACCATACCCAACTTCTGTTGTAACTTCTA